TGGGCGGCCGTCTGCTCGCGGGGAGGTCGAGATGGCGTGGACTGCGTGCGCGGTGGCGCTGCCATGGCGGCCGCCGGCCACTGATGCGTGCGGCAGAGTTGAGGGCGCCCAGATCTGGGCCGCACGAGCCCGCCCAGGCCGGCGACAATCACTCTGCCCCCACCCACCCCTCTCCCTCCTCCCACCCTCCTGGCCGCCGCCGGCGGTTGCCGCTGGGTTAGTAAGCACGTGCGCGGCGACCTTGACGGTTGCTGCTCCGCTGTGCCCCGGCGGATCCTGGTGGCGGAGGCTGCGGGCCAGCGCGGCGGCGGCGCGGTGCAGGTGGCTGCTGCCGCCTGCTGGACGCGCTCCCGGCGGTGGCCGGCCTGCTGGAGCTGCACTGGTCGGTGCTCACTCCTGCGACGACAACGTTTCTAGGCTTCCCCCATGTGTGTTGGTCTTCTCCGACGATTCTTCGCCATGCCCGGTCTGCCATTGCATCTGAGGTCTTCGTCCTTGGGTCGGGGCGAAATCCCCACGCGGCGACGGCCTGCGCTGTCAACGGCGACGCCCGAGGGTGCCGTCACCTCCTTGGAGGCGTTGGCATGACCCTGACCAGACCTCCTCCTCGAGCACCGGGAGAAATCCTAGGTCCGGCCTCCCGGACCGGGCAGCGGCGGCGTCTCAACGCCGTTCCCCTCTTGATGGCGCTGCTTTGGCTGCAAGTGGAGTACTTGATGCGGCAGATAGTGGTTGGCGATGCATCGCTCTGGCGTAGACTGCTACACAAGGAGCAGGTCGCAACGTTTGCCTGCGCCGGCGCTCCCCAATGAATGCTACACCAGTTCCAATCAGGCCCTGCTTTTCACCCGCCGACTCTCTAGGCACATGGGTGCGAGGTACGTCGGCTTGGGCGGTCCTGAAGCTGCATTCGTCCCTGGAAGTGCCTGGCAATGGCAGTGATGCTGCCCTGTTGCTCCGAGTCTCGGTGCTTCGCCATTTTGGCTGGAGGCAAGGCTGGGCGAGGCCTAATGTCGTTGCGTGTCTGTAGTTGAGGGCACCTCCTCACCTAGCTGTAGTCACTTGGTGAGGACGGTCGTGTGTGTGTGTGTGCATGCGCGTGTGTGTGTGTCCCTCCTTTCTGGAGGTTGTACCCCTGATGTCTTCCTGTTCAATGCAATGAAACGCAACTCTTTTGCGTTTTCTCGAAAAAAACTTTAGTAATATTACTGTCTGGAGATTAAAGGCTTAAAATTTAGACACACAGTCATGCTGTCTTGAAGAATCTACTGTGCAAAATACTTTTGGCCCATGAACTTAATAGATAGTTCAGTAAATTACCTGTGAACCCTTCCTGAAGTCAGACTCTCTAACCTCAGGTAACATATTTTGCGAATATCTAAAATTTCCGTGTGGTCCAGGATCATAGAAGCTGACCAAGGAATAAATAAAATGGAAGTAAGAAATAGAAGCTCCAATAATGTTAAGGCTAGTTCTTGAGAAAAAATTTAAGCAGATATTTGACTTACGAGTCAATAAAACTGAGATTTGTTCCCATCAGGTAGTCATACACATAGTCAAAATTGTGCAAAGGTACGCAGCTGTAACAGCACAAGAGTTGACGTCAGATAGAATTTATCATGAAGGAAAATCAGATGTAAGCAAACTATACTCTGTGGACCTGTCAGAAAGCAGCACAAAATGCTGGTTGTCAATGTCTTGTAGAGCATTCGCCAACAACCTCCTCTCAGCATCAACCATAGAAATCTGACCCCACTGTACCTGCAATAAATATATATATCACCCAAGGCAGTCTTTAGCTTCTGAACACTGTTGCAAGACATGGTCTATATGGCAAATATCGATACCGATCAAGGAATAACAGTTTCAATTTTTCAAAAGCATAGACATAATGCTGAAATTAATTTGTGTTTTGTATCACCAGCTGATAAATTAATATGAACAGTGCATGACTTGTTATAACAGCTTTCAAACTGTGCATTATTTACAATGTCATTACCTTGTCACTGTGTATATCTCGACCAATAAATAAGCGACTGACATGTTCTGGCTTCTCCCTCGAGGCGTGAACATATATGGTATATCTTCCCTCATGACCCTGCGGAGACAGCAGCAGAAGACATAAAGAGACAACTTTGAGCAAAATGTGATGACACTGAGAACTACGCTATCGTTCAAAAGATCGATGGTTCTCTCCGTGATGCCTTAAATCAACAAAATGGTCACAAAGTGTAATTGTATCTTTAACGGTACGCAGTTTTCAGAGAAAGTCCGAAATTCCAATGAATACAAAACACTGGCATAGCATGTTAATATCAATTAATTCAGGCTATCTTAGCGATGGAGATAATGGAGCAATAGATGTGCATCAAGACCAAGCAATCCACTTCTAGATCTTGCTTATTAGCTAGCCGCAAATGGTTATGCACTCAAACTATATGTCATTAATCCTTACTGTATAATTTCCAGCTTTTTCTATAGCTTGGATGTAGTTTAATTAAAAGCTGTTGTCCACTTGGATACAAGGGCCAGTAACAAATACGTACGTGTAATCGATCGTATGGCACCAAAATCCTGACCAAAAGAACAATACTTCGTGCATCCGATACGCACCTCGAAGAATTTCTCCCATAGTTTTTCAAACGGCAAGTTGCCCGGGGTGAGGAACATGAAGGCAATCTTGGACCCCCTGGACCGAACAGGAGGCGTGGAGAGCATGTGGCCGAAGACGACGCGCGAGGCCCTCTCGTCGTCGGTGAGCTCCCTGTCGGGCTCCACCGGGAGCCAGTTGCTGACGGGGGAGGCGTAATGCCGGGGCGGGTAGTGGTAGGCCCAGACCACCACGACGGAGACGATGGCCGCGACGGCGAGTATCCACGCGCGCCGCCTCGGAGAAGCCGCCGCTCTCGTGCGGGGCAGCGGCGCGGCCTTCATGTCCCCGACGACGGCCGCGGCTGGGCAGCAGCTCGCGAGGGGCCGCCGTCAGAGCCCAGATCGATCTTGATTGGCGGAGAAGACGGCGCCGCCCGACCAAACGAATCGGCCGCCGCCTGCACGGAGAGGGGAGAGGGCTTCGGTTCTTGATCGCTCGAACTGCCGGAGCAAAAGGGGGAGACGAAGAGCTGACCAGCTAGGGTTCCTTACCGGCAGGAAGGCAATCAATCAGCCCGCAGCCAGAGCACCAGCTGGCCTGGCTCGGCGCCGCCGCCGCCGCCGCTGCAGCGGATTTCGGCTGGGGGAGGATGGCAGCTGAGGAGCGCAGGGAGGGGGCCGAATCCGGCGGGTGGGGAGAAAAGAAATCAGGGGAGGCGGCGCGGGGAGGGGAGGAAGAATCACAGCGCGGATTGGAATTGTTGGATGGATGGAAAGAAAAAAGGCGGAAGCTTCAGAGGATCGGCGGGCGCCCGCGTCCGGTCTGTTGGGGGCGTGTCGGGGGGTTTTCGTTCCGTTTGTTTGTTTGTTTGTTCCTGAACATGGAACATGGGATGGGACGGGAGTTATGGAAGCCGATCGGAGGTGGCTGGAACATGCCATTTTTCTCGTCTCAATCAAAGACTAGTAGTAGCAGGAGCAGTAGTAGGAGTAAAACAACGAGGGCGTGCCGGATTTCGTTTGGTAACCGACGCGTCCGGCTTTCGGTCCCCCGGCTTGGCGACTGCCCATTGGATGCTTGGCACGGGGTGACGACGCACGCTTCACGGAAGCCGCCGGATTGATTTGATCGGACGGTTTCAGATCGTTTGGAAACAAATGCCCCATGCATTTCCATTTTATAACCGGGGATCCTCGGAATCCAAATGTATTTATTGTAGAATTGTGCATGCTTTCAGTTACATGTACCGATTACAAAAGAATTACTAGGAATATATATTGTGGAAGACTTTTTTTGCTCATCTCTACTACTATGTGTAAATGCAACAACCCCTCCCTCCCTCCGGGATTAAATAAGCTGGCGGCTACGGATCTATTACGGAGGATTTCAGTTTTATTCCAATTCACTAGGCCGCGCCGCGTGCGCAAAACCTCTTCCAGTTGTTGGGTTTTATCTTTTTCCATCCTGGTGATGTACCTTGCCTCCCGCGTGAGTAGCTATGAGGTTTGTGTGCAAGTCACTGGGCAGGATGACGCTCGCTTTTGTGGAGCAGAAGCCTCGCTCCTTTGCTGTTTATTCCAAGTCGACTTGGATGGCGCTAATTGGCCTATTCCATCATCAATTGTTACGCATATCTTTAGCTTCAATTTTTTTTTCTCATGCCTTCTTCGGAATTTATCCTTCAAGCTCACCAAAGAACAGTCACCTCGCAAAAGCAAATTGGAATGACATGAACAATGGTAGTGTAATGAATATGAGAGGTAAAGCATCCTATTGTGTGTGTATTATTTTATCACTATAGATTTAAGCTCTAATGACAAATATTATCAAGCACAGTACTATTATGGTTTTGTTATCGCTGGTGTGGGGCCCTAGATATTAAAATTGTTAGATTAAATAGAGGTCATTGTTGTTGATGGCGGTGAAGGTGATATGCGAGTCCTAAGAAGCTCACTCAAGAGTTCAACAACAAGAATGCTCTTCTTGTCAAGATTGCACGAATGGACAAGCTAGATGGCCAGGCTAAGGGGGAGGGATCACGCAAGGGAGATGCCATATGACATTGAGGATTGCATCTATGTCTTCGCGCATGGCCTTGAAGTACAAATGTGCAGCCACTGAGTTTCTCAAGAATATTGTTGAATACCTTAAGAAGTTGAAAATGCGCCATCAAATCGCCAACAATCTCCAGTGCACCGAGGCTCATGTACGGTGCATGAGGCATAAACTTGATAAGTACATTCCTACCTCTATTTTTTTGCTTGTTGGCCCACGAGCACTCGCCATTTATGCGGAGACCGCTAGTCTACTTGGTAGTGGCGAAGCTTAGTGAGGGCTAACATGGGTCCCCCCCACCCCAGTCAGAAGATTATCTGTGATAATCCCTTAGTAGTTGGCCCATATAAGCAGTGAAATTGGCCCAACCCATTTTCTGGACCCCCTGGTCCCATTGCCCCTCCAACATTTTGACCCAAGCTCCACCACCCCTTGTGGGCAAACCTTTTTATTGGGTGTATATTATCATATCTATATAATTTTTGTGGTTTATTGTCGTTGATGTGATATGGGGGCACAAGCCTTGTTTGGTTAAACGGAGGTCCTTGTCGTTGTTGATGATGAAGGTGATACGCGATTCCTAAGAACCTCACAAGGGGTTCAACAACATTAATGTTCTTCTTGTCAATATTGTATGAATGGACGAGGTAGATGACGACTAAGGTGTGGAGGGATCAAGTGAGGACGATTCCATATGACATTGATGTTTCTTCCCCTCTTTGACGTCTATATGTACTTCTCCACCCGACAAGATTTCTTTCTTTAGAGCAACTCTAGTACTGTTGCCTGATCGACCCAATCGGAAAAATAACGACATGACCAATTTGACCGAAAAGGCCATTCTAGTAGAGCCATCATCCGACCCGGAGTCGCCATAGATTATGAAGGGTGCTCCATATACTGTTGGGGAACGTAGTAATTTTAAAAAAATTCCTACGCACATGCAAGATCATGGTGATGCACAGCAACGAGAGGGGAGAGTGTTGTCTACGTACCCTCGTAGACCGGAAGCAGAAGCGTTATAACAACGCGGTTGATGTAGTCGTACGTCTTCACGGCCCGACCGATCAAGCACCGAAACTACGGCACCTCCGAGTTTTTGCACACGTTCAGCTCGATGACGATCCCCGGACTCCGATCCAGCAAAGTGTCGGGGATGAGTTCCGTCAGCACGACGGCGTGGTGACGATCTTGATGGTCTACCGTCGCAGGGCTTCGCCTAAGCACCGCTACAATATTATCGAGGATTATGGTGGAGGGGGGCACCGCACATGGCTAAGAGATCAATGATCAATTGTTGTGTCTCTGGGGTGCCCCCCTGCCCCCGTATATAAAGGAGTGGAGGAGGGGCCGGCCAAGGAGGGTGGCGCGCCCAACTGGGGGAGTCCAACTCCTACCGGGAGTAGGACTCCCCTTTTTCCTATTAGGAGTAGGAGAGGGAAGGAAGAGGAAGGAGGGAGGAAGGAAAGGGGGGTCGGCCCCCCACCCAATTCGAATTGGGCTTGGGGGGGTGCCCCCTCCCTTGCTCCTTTCCCCTCCTTTCCACTAAGGCCCAATAAGGCCCATATACCTCCGGGGGGGTTCCGATAACCTCCCGGTGATCCAGTATTATCCCAATCTTACCCGGAACCTTTCCGGTGTCCAAATATAATCGTCCAATATATCGATCTTTATGTCTCAACCATTTCGAGACTCCTTGTCAAGTCCGTGATCACATCCGGGACTCCGAACAACCTTCGGTACATCAAAATATATAAACTCATAATGAAACTGTCATCGTAACGTTAAGCGTGCGGACCCTACGGGTTCGAGAACAATGTAGACATGACCGAGACACGTCTCCGGTCAATAACCAATAGCGGAACCTAGATGCTCATATTGGCTCCTACATATTCTACGAAGATCTTTATCGGTCAGACTGCATAACAATATGCGTTGTTCCCTTTGCCATCGGTATGTTACTTGCCCGAGATTCGATCGTCGGTATCTCAATACTTAGTTCAATCTTGTTACTGGCAAGTCTCTTTACTCGTTCCGTAATACATCATCTTGCAACTAACTTATTAGTTGCATTGCTTTCAAGGCTTAAGTGATGTGTATTACCGAGAGGGCCCAGAGATACCTCTCCGACAATCAGAGCGACAAATCCTAATCTCGAAATACGCCAACCCAACATGTACCTTTGGAGACACCTGTAGAGCACCTTTATAATCACCCAGTTACGTTGTGACGTTTGGTAGCACACAAAGTGTTCCTCCGGTAAACGGGAGTTGCATAATCTCATAGTCATAGGAACATGTATAAGTCATGAAGAAAGCAATAGCAACATACTAAACGATCGGGTGCTAAGCTAATGGAATGGGTCATGTCAATCACATCATTCTCCTAATGATGTGATCCCGTTAATCAAATGACAACTCATGTCTATGGTTAGGAAACATAACCATCTTCGATTAACGAGCTAGTCAAGTAGAGGCATACTAGTGACACTTTGTTTGTCTATGTATTCACACAAGTATTACGTTTCCGGTTAATACAATTCTAGCATGAATAATAAACATTTATCATGATATAAGGAAATAAATAATAACTTTATTATTGCCTCTAGGGCATATTTCCTTCAGTCTCCCACTTGCACTAGAGTCAATAATCTAGATTACACAGTAATGATTCTAACACCCATGGAGCCTTGGTGCTGATCATGTTTTGCTCGTGTAAGAGGCTTAGTCAATGGGTCTGCTACATTCAGATCTGTATGTATCTTGCAAATCTCTATGTCTCCCACCTGGACTAGATTGTTGGGGAACGTAGTAATTTCAAAAAAATTCCTACGCACACGCAAGATCATGGTGATGCATAGCAACGAGAGGGGAGAGTGTGATCTACGTACCCTTGTAGACCGACAGCGGAAGCGTTAGCACAATGCGGTTGATGTAGTCGTACGTCTTCACGGCCCGACCGATCAAGCACCGAAACTACGACACCTCCGAGTTTTAGCACACGTTCAGCTCGATGACGATCCCCGGACTCCGATCCAGCAAAGTGTCGGGGAAGAGTTCCGTCAGCACGACGGCATGGTGACGATCTTGATGTACTACCATCGCAGGGCTTCGCCTAAGCACCGCTACAATATTATCGAGGATTATGGTGGAAGGGGGCATCGCACACGACTAAGAATATGATCACGTGGATCAACTTGTGTGTCTAGGGGTGCCCCCTGCCCCCGTATATAAAGGATCAAGGGGAGGAGGCCGGCCGGCCCCTATGGCGCGCCAAGGAGGAGTCC